CTGTTATGCAGCATGCCTCCTGCGAGAAACTGAGAAGGAAAAAATGCCCTGCCGTTCTCCCAAGTGGTGAACGGTACCGAACAATTGAATCTTCCAACTCCGCCAGCGGGCGGCAGCACTGACATACGGTCACGTGATCAACATGCGCCACGCACGTGCCCTTTCCGTGAAACCGCTCTGTCGCCTGCAACGGTTGCCAAAGTTCCGTGCAGACTTCCTGCATTTGCAACTAAAGCCTGCAAACGGCAACGTGAATCAGGACGCGATCCGTACGCGTCCTGTCATTTCCCGAATTGGCGAATCCAAGGTGAAGCTGTGTCAATTTTTATGCAATATGGCAAGTAGCTACCTTTCATAAGAAATTTCCGGCTAGATCGTCAGTGATCTCATTGGCCCACAATGAAATGGAGAAAGGAGAGGAAGGAACAGTGGGCCAATCAGTGGTCCTCAAAGCCCACCAGCGGCCTCGCTCTCGGGTCGTGCCATCATTTATTTACGCTCAATTTTATTTACTTGATTCATTCGCTTCCCTTCTACGCGGGAAAAGTCATAATGCAGCATATGCTCCAGTCAATCTGGTATTTAACATGTGATAAGCCAGCGATAAGCCAGCGACGTCAAGGACCCTTCATGCTCCCCCTGGACAGGTTCTCTCGAACATATTTATCGGCAATTTGTCTTCAGCGGTCCGGTTCGTGCCGGATACGGACCAGTTCTCCCCCTTTCGAGGCGAACGCATTAAATTAAAGGCAGAAGCGATGCCGCTATGAGAACCTGTAATGCAAATGTAACGTAATTTTTTTTAAACTCCTCGTTAACACTTTTTTCGGTTCACCGGTGAACATTTGAACGAATTTTCTGCATTCGGTCCAAGAGCCACGTCGGTGCCAAATTCCAACACACGACTTCACATTGTAGCCTATTATTTTTGGAATGGGGAAACCTTGCCAAAACGTCGACAATGCTAATAATTTGGCTCAACTCTCGAACTTTCCCAACTGAAACGCACATTTCCACGGAAGAGAACCGCAAAAAAAAAGCATGAGAGAGAAAAACCCAGACGCCCGCCGTCCATCCGTCAGCCACGGCGGCTGGAGGGCGACTGGCTGCTCCGCGCGGCGGCGCCCCGACCCAGCCCGAGCGCTGCGCATGCGCATTGATCCTCGGCCCGGAGGAGTTTCACTGCTGCTCGCGCCCTCCTTGCGAAGTTCAGAATAAATTTTTTTTTTCCTGTTTTAAATTTCGCCACAAACAAACTTAGCCCTTGTCTTGTCCACATCGATCTGCACGCAGATATCACAAGTTGACTTTTTTCTGAGACAAAGAAAGTTTGAGGCAAATCGACGCACTAACAGGACCAGTCGACCCGACCATCGATTTATGATCGGATGGTTGATTTAGTGACAAATGTGTGGCTGGAAAATGCATAAAATAAAACGAATTAGAATAAGTGTCACATCGAGCTTAAAAGAGGTAGATTGCCTGGAGTTCGTTGCAGCAAAAAGCGTCATGCTGCGCCATGAGAAGCAAAGTTCGTCGGACATTTGCCTGGAAGGAGGATCGTCGGACACTTGCCTTCCCAGGGATGGATCTCCATCGATGTGGTGCTCTCTGCTGTTAAGGCGATGCTACTCTCAATTCCTAACACATTTAACATTGCCAATGAATATTCCATGAACGTCTGGAAGGTTCAGCCAACCACAGATGCTGATGGTGGTAGGGAATGAATAATTAATTTACGTTTCAGGTGGTTTTGTCACACATGCGAGCGATTGAGCCATGGAGTAAAACGTTACCTTATTGGAGTGGAATCATAGGGATGAAATAGGTCGAAGGAGATAGTCTAGAAATATTCAGGTCTGGTAATTGCGGACGTTAAGTCTGCAAGAAATTAGACAATTTCCGTTCCCAATCACTTAGTTGAAGCTATAACTCGAGAAAAAGTGCGAAGCAGCAGTCAGTGGAATGTCTTCTTTAGAGCTGCAAAGTAATTTCTTCTCGATTCTATTCAAAGGTAAATCTGCTCTGCATATTATCAAAATTTGCATAAAGGCACTGGCTCCTGATCCGAGCGGTGCATGGACCTCCTTCCACAGTCACAATGAACACGACGCCAAATTCAGATCCTCGCAAGATGAATAATCTCTTTATCTCTCAATTTCGCCCTGAGAAGCAAGCAGCTGACACACTCGAAAGAGAGGCTCAAAGACACTGCGACCCATTCGAACGGAGGAACCTCCACCATGCGGTGCGTAGTGATTCTGTGGTCTCTCCTAGCGGGTGTTTTTGGGGAAGGGAGAGAGGGGGACTGCGGCTTGCTGACGGAAGACTCGGGTGTCATCCTATCCCCCAATTACCCTCTGGAATATCCCGTCGATTTCAAATGCGTCTGGACCATAATGGTATAGTTTGTTGTTCGCAGCTGGTATTTTATTTTAAATCTTACTATGATTTGGAAAGCACTCGCGTTTTCGTGGCTTGGTTTATTCACCTTTGTGTTTCCAATTTCCATTTTGATTTTGTCACTGGCTTAGAACTACATTCACGAAAACCAAGGACTACCTCTGATGTAAAGGACTTATTTTTAACATTACATTCATAATTTTGGTGAAATGCATTATATTTCTCAATATTTTTACAGCTACTTGGTATCACATGGAAGTGGAAAGGTGACTGAAATGTTCAGTTCAGTTCAGTTGAAATTATGAATGGTGACTTACACCTGGTCAGAGGTGAACATATTAAGAAAAAGCCCCCGTTTGTATAGAATTTTCTACGGGCTGTAGGGAACTGAACACCAGAAATATGAGTGTTAAAAAAAATTCAAATGAAATTGGAAGCAAAACATTCCGGTACAAACCATTGCCATGCAGCAACACTACCCCAAGTAGAGGTGCAGGACGTCAAAATTCATTTTCAAATTTCACTTAATCTGATGCCATTATAGTTTTGCCTGTATGCTTTTATAGGCGGAGAGCCCGATAACGCTGACCTTCGAGGAGTTCGCCCTCGACGACAACCCTGACTGCAAAGAGGAATTCCTCAGCATCTCGAATTTCGACTGGGCCAGATTCTGCGGGGAAGAAGTTCCAGCCACGATAGAAACCTCAGAAACTACCGTCACCGTCACGTTCGCGAGCGACGGTAACCGGTCGGTTAACGGGGACCGCCGGTTCCGCATTTCCTACGACATCGGCCTGGAATGCGAGCCGGGATGGGTCAAATTCCGGGGTCAATGTTATTACTTTGGCTCCACGGACCGGCCCGATTTCGGGATGTTAGATGCCGATGAGGCATGCCACGACATGGGGGCGAATGTCACCAGCATCCATTCGCGGGAGGAGGACGAATTCGTCGCGTCGAAAGTGAAAGCGTCTTTCAGTCTCGTTGGGGGATACACGGGATTAGGGTTCCCGAATGATACGTTCGACTTTGAGTTCCTGGACGGATCTGCGGCGGATTACCAGAATTTCAACGATGTCGGCATGAGGTTGGATCCTTATAGTTGGATCGTGGTCACCGTCGACGAATGGATGAATTTTCCTTGCGACGACCTGCGGTCGTTTGTCTGCGAGGTTGGAGATTCCCTGCAGATCTGGCATTCGAACGGCACTTTCGACGCGGCCAGAAGCGATTGCATATCCAGCGGCGGCGATTTGATCGCTATAAAGGACCGAGACCGGAGGGCATCGCTGATGGAGACGATCCTCGACGTGCACGATCCCCTGCCGCGAGAATTCTGGATCGGCTTGAAGCTCGACGTCACAGGGGACTGGACTTGGGTCGACGGGTCCCAGGTGACATACGCCAACTGGGCCACCGGCTATCCACTGCCCGGACGAGGCTCGTGCGCCGCTGCGGTCCCCTCGACCTGGGCCACCGTCGGGTCCTGGGCGTTCGGCTGGTCCTGCAAGAAACCAGCGGTTCAAGGTCGCGAAGGCATCAAATTGTGAAGGTTGATTCCGATTTTACTGCGGTTTCAGATGGATTGCCTCAGCAGGTCTCCGGTTGAATGTCAACCCCTGAGACTTTGGGATTGTTCAGAGAATTCTCTTGAATGAAATTTAGTCTCTTATTGGACAAAATCGGTGTTCCAGTTATTTTTTTCCTGCTTAAACGAGATTCTCATGCTATTTCAAGGTGGAGCTTCACCATGTGTCTATTGAATAATTTTCATATCAAGCAGAGTGGGTTTTTCTTCCAACGGTTATACTCGAACAATCAAGTGAAGCCACACACACACACACACACAAACACGATTCCTATGGCATTTCCAGGGGCAGACGAGGCAATATAGAGAGTCGGCAACCTAAAGACTAAAAAAAAATGGAGGATTATACAATAAATTTTTACGGAATTTTACAGGACATTAATTATTGGCTCGAATAATTTCGCGAATGTACTGTAGTAGAAAAGGGAAAAACTCAGTTGTCATGATGAAAACTGCATGGAATTGATTAACTCTGAAGCAACTCCAAAACCAATTTAATCATTATGGAATGGTCAATGAACGACTTGTTGCGGGCGGGCTGCTCCCCGCCGCATGCAAGTCATCATACGCTGGCGGAAATGCTGACTCAGTTCTTTTTTACACGGAATTATGAGGCAATCGATTTCCTGGGACCAGAGCACAGGTTCTATTCTAAAGTTTCGCCTTATCTCTCAGCGACGGCATGGGAGGAGAAACAGCTGGTCGACGAGGTGCGAGGAAAAAGATCCAGGGAGGCACGAGATACTCGACGCCTTCGCCGTCATGAAGTCCCTAGTGATTCTGTGGTCTTTGCTCGCGGGTGTTTTTGGGGAAGGGAGGCAGCAGTGCGGGGGGACGCTGATGGATGGCTGGGGTGTCATCAAATCCCCCAGTTACCCAAATGAATATCCCGTCGACTTGCAATGCCTCTGGACCATCTCGGTATTCTTTTTCCGTTCTTGCTCGTCTGTTCCCGCAGTTCCATATGATAATATGATATTACATTTAATGTCTCTCTGAATTCTTCGTGCGTTTCCGTTTATCAATCTCCATTTCTAAATGCGTTCACCCCAGTTGTGAAAACTTCGCGGATTGCCAAACTGTCAAGGCACACTTCTATCCCCCTTGAAATATATTCCTAATTAATGTCTAACCTTCTAATTACTCAAATCAAGAGAGCTGGACCGGATCCTTTACGAGAAATCTAGCTGATCATACCATGAGTACACAATATATATTCTTAATCAATTGAAGCCATTCATTACTTCGCAATGGAGTTTGGAAGGATTGAATGTTTTAACCTGTTAACTGATTATTTAAGGTTATTTTGATTAACTTCTCGCCACATTTGAGGAGTGTTAGGAGAGTATCGAGTGAATCTTGGATTCATCAGAGTCGCAGATATGGTACCGTGCATACGAATCATGGTATTGCGATATGGTACATACATATTTATCCCGAAGAAAAAAAAAAAAAGGACCTTTGACGTCCATATCTCCGACTTTCCCCGAGGTAGAACTCCTTAAACATTTGCAATGATTGCAGCTTGAGGGCGTGGCGTGAGGGCAGAGGAGGCCCTCACAGTCTTCATTTCCAATATCTAAAACTTGATCGAAGACAGTTGCAGAATCCGGAAACATGTGAGGAGGAAAACATGTTATTGTAAGCTTTTATTTATGGTTCCATGAAATTCTTTGAGCGTAGACGTACCATTGTTATTTAATCCGTGTATCAATTTCATTTAGTACATTTACTTTATGAATTAATTATATAATTCCGGATAACTTTTTGATGCTGGTCACACGTAGAACGAGTGGTTTTGTTGGTAGTACCAGCAATTATTGAAATTCACCACGATGAAAGCATATTGGTGAAAAGTTAAATTATACCATTCCAATGACACGCACAGAAATAATACAAAATATTATCTCCCTTTTATGGAAAATGCGTTTTTTTTTGGCTTAACATCCCCAGCTGGAGTCAAAAGTCTGTCTCTGGTGTTCCCGCAGGCGGGGAGCCCGATCACCCTGACCTTCGAAGAGTTCTCCCTCGACGACAACCCCGACTGCACCGAGGAGTTCCTCCGGATCACGAACTTCGACTGGGCCGTCTTCTGCGGGGGGGACGTGCCCCGATCCATCTCGACCTCCGATTCCATCATCACCATCATCTTCAAGAGCGACGGCGCCGCCTCGGGCGAGGGCGACCGACGCTTCCGCATCTATTACGAAACCGATGGCAGTTGAGGTCGGGGTTAAGAATTCACTGAGCGGTTAGGATTCCAGCCCCTCCCGATGTAACTCCGGTGATAATTTTTTTAAAGGTTAATAAATGCAGATGAATCCTATTTGCTTCGGTGGTTTTCCTTATCAATACTTGCCTGGCAGCTAGCATTTCTGCAACTGACGATCCGGATTTGGCTCAAACATTCGGTCCAATTTTCGCAATTCAGTCCTGAAGGTTTTTTCAGCTGCTGCACGTTTCTTTTGCCAAGAAAAGAAGAAGACGGCATGCACTGCATTTCAAGTCCTTCCACTTGCGAAAAAGTATCAATAACTTCGAACTCATTGGCAATCAGTCCCCCTAATAGGCAAAATGGACAATTTTTCTTAGAAAATTTTGCCTTGGAGAAATTTTTTATCTTCCCGAAGCAAATCAATTTACGACAGCTTTGAACGCAGTGGAAAATTGGCATGACGTCTGTCATGCAAGCAGGGTGAGACGTTTTCAGGTATCGTCCAACAGCACCAGAAGGACCTCAAACACACACACACACACAAACACACACACACACACACACACACACACACACAAACACACACATACACACACACACACACACACACACCGACACTCACATGCACCAACATGAATGGGATTTCGAGGCCCATATTGCGGATGAAATTGAACCAACTAAAGGAAAATATCAATGACTTATTTTAAGAAAAAGAGACGTAAGAAACGTGTTATTTCTGAGTCAAATTCGCCTTCTGACAGAACGGGACGTTGAGTAGAATGTACGAGGCTTGTATGAAAAGTCATGCGTGTTCCGCAATAAAAATTTGCATATTGCGCGCACGCGAAAAATTCCTACAAATTCTGAAAGCCCCATCAAAGAGGAACGCAACGATGTATAACATAGGCTGGTTGCTAATATGCAAATGTAACAGTCGTGGGAGAAACAGAGGCAGGTAGCGGCAGTTTCCCGAT